GGCATGCACTGATTTAATGTGTTCTTTAAATGAGTCCTGCATCCACAAGGACATTGTGAGCAGATATTTTCATCCCCTACTACCTCCACTTTACACATAAGGATATGTTAAATTTGTTGAAGGCTTTCAGCCTACAAATGGCAAAACCAAGATGTAAATCTAGGTGCTCTTGCTCCTTGGCTCATGCTGGTATCACAGGGCTCCTGTGAAGCACTGGATAAAGCACCTCCTTGCAAACGGGGACGCTAAACAAAGCAGGGAGTGAGTGAGAGCAGGGCGAAGGGAGACAAAGGATGAATGAACCTTTACCCCATTTCTTTTCTGGCACTCCAGGTCCTGCAAAGGTAGAAGACAGGATGTTCAAAACTGATGACTCTCTAAGTCCCCCAAAATATCATTGGTTCTGGTTCCATGTATAGCAGAATTTAGAACCAATTACCCTCTACATCCACTCATGCTAAGAATAATAGGCAATGATACACCTAGACTGGCTTAAAAATACACCCAGACAAACTCAACCAAAGTTCAAGATCTCTGAACATGTATTTCTCAACCTCCTTACCTTAGAACAAACTCATTTTCTTGCTGGGGTTTACCTACACTCTCTTCATCTGAGAAAATTCCTAATGCTGGTGTGTCTCAGGAGCCTAGAAGTTCTTTTTAACCTCCCTGTTTATTTCTGGAACAAGCCTCTCAGATTTACCGGTATTGAGATGAAAATACACCAGTCCCTTCACATGACCCTCATACAAAGCAACCTGAGCTATTCCTTGTCTGTTCCATAAGCGAGCATGGTCTTAGAAGACAAGGCAAAGTTGTGTGTTCACCACAGAGCTACAGACCATACAGGAGTCCCCTTAGATGATTCTTATGAGTGTCTGAGGATGGGTGATGTTATACTACAGGCCACAGGGTGCTTTAGAAATCAAGGTAACAAAGAAAGATAACACAAAGAAGAGAAACAATACTCACAGGGAGATGCTGAGGGATGACTCTAAAAAATTTTCTAAGGGGAAATACATGGCCTGGGAACTTCTCCACTCTGCTGAAAAGGCTCCATCACTCTAGCTATCCTGAAAAGGACCCATTCACACCAAAAAAAAAAGAGCTCCTGTCCTAGACGAGTCTTTGTGTGGGCCAAACTCCCTAGCTCTGAAGGTGACACTGCACATATGTTCTGCTCTTCAATAAACAAAGTAAATGTTATGGCCATAATTTTGCACCCACAGACCCATGTAGAAGATGGAAGGATCCCAGAGCTGACAGTGAGTTGTAGCTCTTATCACTGTTGGCATGATTCTCAATATAAGGAATAGGGGAGAGGGGTCTCATCCAAGACCTGAACATGCCCAAACTGGGATAGGTCCCCTCATTGGGCAGAACAGCAGTCTCATCTGGCAACACCAGCAGATTTGTTAGTCACAGGCTAGACAGAGGGCATCTCTTATTCCTCAGTGCACTGACCCTCAGGGTCCAGAACCTGCTCAGTCCAAGAAACTGAAAGCCAAAGAACAAGAAGGGTCAAGGATGTGCCCAAGACTGGAGTCCTGCAAGCTCCTCTGAGGGGCTGACATGAGTCAGTGTTAAAAGACTGGAAATACTGATATGTGATATTCACAGGCCTGGGCGGTAGCAAAGGACACACCCACTCAAGAAGAATGCAGCTTTTCAAACTTATGCACTAACTTCCTCTTTCTTTCCTTTGTGTTTCATCCAGGCTGCAAGCCTATTGGTTGGTGCTACCCACAATCCTGCAGGGACTTCCCTCATCAGTGTGCTGGCCTCCATGCCAGGCACCTCTGAAACACTCCATAGAGCACACCCACGAGTATGCTTCACTACTCTGCTAGGTCTTTCCTAATGGTTATACTGAGGCTTCCCTTGGGAGAGGCCAGAGGACCCCTCCAATGGAACTAATAGCGTGGAATTAAGAGTATAATTAGAACAGTCTGGGATTAAGGGCTTGGGTTGTACTCAGACAGAAAACCCACCAAGCTTCTCAAATTACAAACTTAAAACCAACCACCTCTTTTACATCAAACATATCATTCACATGCTCATTTTTCAATCTCTTCCACAATGCAAGACCTACAGGACTCAGATAGTCTAAAGAAATGGTTTCATTGTACAGAGCTTTTGCTTAGGGGGCTCAGGTTCCACTTCACAGATTTTCCCAGGATCCTCTGCAAACTGAGACCCTATAAAACATGCTCATAAAATATGGCCCAGGATTTGACAGATCTGCAACTGTGAAACTTAAGAAAGAAATTATAAACAGAAGCAAGACAGGTAGAAATGCTTTTTTATTGTGTTTAATGACAAAGAACTTCCCATGGTGATCCAAACCCCAGTACACCACAAAATTATTCATGCTATTACATATTCCAAAACTAAAGTACCTCAACTGCAATCCTGGGCCCAATAGGATTCCTCACATTTAAATAATGTATTGAGAATTAAAGTTAAGATATAAATAATTAGTAGGATATGGTGACACATGCTTGTAATCCCACACTCCAGAGGACTGAGGCAAAAAGACAG